CTACCTCACCGGTCCCAACCCGGTGGTTCCCCTCAGTCCTCTCCTTCCCCACGCTCTCCGATCCAGCCACAATGGCATCCTTGGTGTTTCTTGAAAACTCCAGGCACACATTTACCTTGAGGCGTAGGCCTAACTGTTCTCTCTTTCTGAATGTTTTTCCCTCAGAAATCCCCAGGACCATTCTCTTGCCAACTCAGGATCTTTCCTTGCATGTCACCTTCTTAACAAAGTTCACCCTGATCGCTGTAGATACCATGTCGTCCCACACTCCCTCCTGCATTCCCAATCTCCTTTATCCTGCTTTATTTTTTGTAACAAATCACTTTCGAATGTGCCATAGAATGTACTTACTTAGTTTATGTTAATTATTTAATGTCTGCCTCTCCCACACTCACATTAGAATGTAAGCTCCATAAGGGCAGTAAACTAGAATGGTGCCTAGCACATAGTCGGCACCCAAAAGATATTGACTGACTGAACAAGTGGTTCTCAGCCTGGTCAAACCTAATGCCCCTTTTAATAACAAATATTGGGCACATAATGTTTAACAGTGGGAGGGGGGGAAATCATGAAGTACCTACACAAGTCATTTTTAAAAATTCAAAGATATGCCTTAACTATCACATAAAGGATAAAGTAAATGTGTGATCCAATACGGGACTGCTCAGGCATGCCTAAACTAAAAGACACAATGAAATAGATGCTTGCATCCATCTTTAGAATTGCAGTGAAATAGCCACAAAATGGACTGTACTGGTCATTCAAATTCCTAGAATAGCATTGCCATTCGATTTATCACCACAGTCTAGGAAAATTTAATATATCTCAAACTGTGTGAAAGATACTTTATGTTTATATATGAAATAGATTCTAGGCTCAGGTAAATATAAACAGGTTTTTCATCTACATGAATGAGCAGTGGGGAGGTCAAGTCACACAGGCTGCAGGACAATTCTTTGCTATGCAGAATAGTTCTGGGCATTGCAAGATGTTGAATATCTTTGGCTGACCAACTGCATTCTAGTAGCTCCCCCTCTGCAATCACTGGGACAAGCAAAATCACTCTGGTAAGTTTCAAAACAACTCCTGGAAGGAGTTCCATCCCAATAGACTCTTGATCTGTTGTCACTGGCTTCCTCCATATAACATTTGACCTGTTGACAAGCTCCTTCTCACTCCTCCCCGACACTCCTATACTTGTAACTTTCCTTTTCCATCCTCCCCCAATTCCTGCCTGTGTCATTGTGTAACTCCTGACCTCCCCCTGCCTACCTACCTGTGGTGCCCTTCCTTTTTCCCCCGTTATCTGATTTTCAACTGCCTCGCCTAAGTCATTAACTCTCAAAGTTCCAGTCTACACATGACATCCAAATCCGTATTTCCAATTGCTACTTTGTCATTCATACACAGAAAGCCTCCAGTTATACATGTCCAACATCAAACTAGTCATTTTCCTCCAAAACCTGTTAGTCCACCAGTAGTACCTATTTATGTGAATGACAATATCCATTTACTCAATCTAGAAATGACAATCATCTTTCATTCCCTAGTCCTCTTTCCCCACATCCAATTGATTGATTGTACTACTCTGTCCATTTTCCCTCTGAAGTATCTCATAGTTGCTTCCTTCCTTAGAAAATTTTCATAGCCTAATTGATGCTTCTACTCCAATTCATCTTTTGATGCTTCCACAAAAGGAGTTTCTGCAGATAAAATATATATATATATATTTGGGGGCTGGGTGCGTGGGGGCCGCTGAGCTCTGCGCTGGGGAAAGCCTCCCGGCGCCGGCCACGCGGGGAGGTAAGTGATCCGCTCGTGCTGCGAGGGCACTGGGGACGCCCCGCCCTCTCCCGCTCCAGTATGAAAGGACACGAAGAAAACCACAATAAAAACCCTCCCTTGTCTCTGCTGTGTGTCCGGTGCCTCTGCAGCTTGTTGCACCCACAAGCGAGCAACCTGTCACCCTGGAGTGGACGCAGGGCAGCCGTGTGCCCGGCCCGGCGGAGAGCGGGGTTGCCGGGGGCTGCGGGGTAGCGCTCGCAGAACGGAACCGGGTGGCGGCACGCCCCACACACCCTTTCCAGAGACAGGCTGCCCGGGAGCCCCCAAACTCAAAGCGACCGTTTCTTCTTACAAGTCTCGGTCAGAAACTTTTCCCTGTGTCGCCGGGGCCACCAGCGTGCCGTTTGGCTGTCGGACGGCGCCGCTGGTCCCAAAGGCTTGCTGGTGTCCCCCCCTCCTGCCCTCGGTCCGCGCCCCGCGCCTCTTCTGCAGGCCGCCCCTCGCTTTCCCTGGAGATGCCCCTGGTGTCCGGGGCGACT